TTCTTTTAAGATAATTACCCAAGGTGCAAGATCAAACAATAAGAACACTTTTAAGGCTTACACATTTTTCAGAAAAGTGATACAGTGCACAGTGCCCACATATGAGAATTCCAATCTCATTGCATCCTCACCAGCATTGACAATTACTGTTTTTGTAAGTTTTACTAATCTAATGGATGGGAAAATATATTTACATTCATTTAATTGCTACTGTTATTTAATTTGCTTCCACATATTTATTGAGATTTTTATGTTAATTCACCATTTAATGTACTTTCCCTATTTATCCATGAGGGAGTTAGTAATTTTATTACAAATTTAAACACACTGTTTGTATATTAAGAGCATTACCCTTTGTCACATTTATTGCAAATCTTTCCCCAGCCTATCAATTGCCTTTTAAGTGTGTTTTTAATATTTTGATGCATTCCTTTCATTTTCATGTAGAAAGCTCTTCTCCATCCAGAAATCTGATGAATACTCAATTTCATCTTCTTCAAGTTTTTATGGTTTGTCTTTCTGGAAAGAAAATGTACCTCTTTATTCCATCTGGAATTCATTTCAGGTCCCAGTATGAAGTGAGACTGTAAATTATTTTCCTCCAGATTTTAGACAGCTGTCCCTGCAATGTTGCTTGAGTGAATAATGCTTCCTTTGCTACTGATTTGTGATCCTCCTGGGATTGTGGGATAAACCCTCATGGATGCCAAATTTATTTCTGGCTATCTGATCTAGGTGCCCACGCTGTCAGTCCTACAGCCTTTTAATTAATTATTAAAGCTTTAGAATAGGTTAAAAGTAACATAACTCTCTCCAATTGGGTTTTGTTTTGATTTTAGCTACTTCTCCTGTTCTTCTTTAAATTACATATAAAATATTCTGTTTTTTGAGCCTGGAGTACAAATGTGCATTAAAACAATCCAGGGAGAATTACCATCTTTACCATGCTGCCTCACCATTAAGAATATTACATATTTTCAGTTTTTCAAAACATTTTCTTAAATCCTTCTGCTTAGTCTTGCAGTTTTCTTCATGGAAATCTTGCATAGCTTTTAATAATGCCACTTCACTTTATTACTTTAATAAATGAGTTTTGTGTACTAAAATGTCTCACAGGTAAATCCTGTCATAAAAAAGTTGTTGATTTTTATATACTAATTGTGATTCTATATATTCTTATTATTGTTACTAAACTCTTATTAATTCTAATCTTTATTAGAGTGTTCTCTGGGGTTTGTCATACATATAATCTAATAATTTTGCCTCCTCCCTTTCAAGGGTCTTGGGTATTGCTGCTGTTTTTTAATCTGGCATATTGATGTAATATATTGCATTCATAGATTTCCTGATACTAAATCATCCTTGTCTTTCTGGGATAAAAATTTACGTGGTTATAATGCATCTATTTGCTAATATTTCATTAAAGATTTTCACATCTATTCACATTACAGAAATTAGCTATAGACTTCCTCATGTGGAATTTACTGTCATTATAAGATTTGGGTGATAGGGAGCTGGCTGGAAAGATTTTATTTTCCGGTGTTCTGGTCAGTTTCCAAAGGAAAGCAGTTACTTAATTTTTTGAAAGTATGAATGAATTTATCTATAGAAATCATAAGATTAGAGAACTTATTTGTATGGTTTTTGTTTATGTTGTTTTGTTTTTGTCTGTTTCTTAAGTAAAGCTTGGTAATATTATTTTCTGTAAAATTGCCCATTTCATCAGTATTTTTCAAATCAGTTATAAGTACTGTCATATTTTTATTACTTTTTATCTCCTCCATATCTGCTTCACATTTAATTTAATTTTATTCCTTCTTTCTTAATTTTATATATAAAACTTCCTTTCTTTGTGTTCTAGTTTCTGACTTTATCTGTATTATGTCCTTTCCTATATTTCTTTAGTTGCTAGTGATTTTCTAAACTTGAGTTGAGGGCCAGGGATTTAGCTCAGTGGTTCTGCCACCTACTTCACAAGCGCAAGGTCCCGAGAGTTCAATCCCTGATACAAAAATAAATAAATAAATATAAATAAAAAGTATAAAAAAATAAATTTGAGTTGAATGTTTGAAGTAATACTGTCTAATAGAAATATAATGTGATCCACATGTAATCTTAAATTTAATATGTTTTATTAAATATTAATTATATTATTAAATATTAAATAAATATTCAAATTTTCAACATGTACTCAACCTTTTTAAAATATGAGACATTTACATTACTGTTTTCATACTCTCTTTGAAAACCATTGTCTCTTACAGCACATGGAAGTTTTGATTACCATGTGGTTTTCTTTGTTTGTTTGTTTTTTGTGGTACCGGGAATCGAACTCAGGTCCTTGCACTTGCAAGGCAGGCCACCGAACCGCTGAGCTAAATCCCCGGCCCTGATTACCATGTTTTAATGTGTTCTTGTGGGTTTGAACCACCAGTAGTACACACATGACTGGCCCATGCCAGCCAGTGGAACACTAATGCATGTACCACCATGGTTCAGAGCACCAGGCAGCAAGATATATGAATTACAGCCCTGTCATGAACATGTTATGCATTTAATAATCATATATATCTTGTATCTATAATATTAGGCAACACAGTATATGCTACATATTTTCTTCCTTTCTTTTTTTAATAGCCAAAATAGTTGACTATAAATTGACCTTTCATTATAGCTTTGCCCACATCCCACAAGTTTTTGCAGCTTTTTATTGCCTAAATAACCTGTTGTATATTTGATTACCATTTTTCTTTAAGAGAATAACTTTTAAGTAGCTAAGTAATTGGTTATTTTTAATTGTTAACTTTTGGCCCCAGTATATAATTTGTGCGATTTCTTTTTGTTTTTTCTTGAGGGTTTGTTTGTTTTGAGGTGGGGAGGTTGGACTGTATAATCCAGGCTGGATTTAAACTGACTATGTAGCTCAGGCTGGCTTCAAACTAAAGATACTTCTACGTTAGCCTCCAAAGTGCTGGGATTACAAAAGTGTGCCACCATGGCCTGCTAGCTCCCACAATTTCTAAGTCTTGAAAATTATAGTGAAATCATGGCTTACTATGAGGCTTTTTCAATTTAGAATTATTGTATTAAGTCATCTAATTAATTTTTGCCCATTCAACCAATAATAGAATGTTATAGTGGTTCCTATCAGAATATAATTTTTTCTTAAGTCTCAATAACTTTTTATGTATTTTCAGTCTATGTTATTCGGTATATAAAATTTATATTATTTATGAACAATATTTTATCTATATTGATAACCCTATAATTTTTAAATGATTATCATAAAAGATACTTTGATTTTACTACTGCTTTAATTTTATTTTCACTTGTCCATGATTATTTTTACCCATTCATTTATTTTATAAATTCTGTTTTCTGTTCTGCTAGTGGTTGCTAGTGTTTAATTTTAACATGTTTAAGGGCATATTTTAACATATTTCTCTGATTATCAAACTGAGGGAAGCAATCATCTATCAGCTTTCATGGTCTAAATTAGGAAACTGTACTGTGTAATTTTTTGTCCCCTTCCCACCAGTCGTAACTTAATATTGGGTTATTAAGTAACTGCTACTACAAAATTATCATTTAAGTTACATTTAAAAATCAGATATCAGCCAGGTGTGGAGATGAGCACCTATAGTCCCAGCACTCAGGTGGGTCAGCAGGAGAACGGTTTGAGCCCAGGAGTTCGAGACCAACCTGGGCAACAATAGTGAGACTGTCTCAAAAAAATTTTTTTAATAAATTAAATACATTTTTAAATTAAATATCTTCTTTTCCAAGGATTACTTCTAGCTTTTGACTTACTCTTCTAATTAAAATTATAATTACTTATTTTAATTTCATAAGCCTATCTGGTTTCCGTTTCAATTTTTCCTTTTGCATCCTTCTATACCATGATTTTGTTGGCTGGAACATACATTCAAGAAAGTTGTATGGTTTTTTGTTTTGTTTTTTCTTTTTCAGTACCAGGATTGAACTCAGAACCTTGTGGTTGTGAGGCAAGTGCAATGCCACTTAGCTAAATCCCCGGCTCTGGGGGGGTAATTTTTTAAAAGCCTAAAATTTACCATTTTGACCATTTCTAAGTGTTCAGTTCAGTAATTTTAACTATACTACCAGTCTCCAAAACTTTTTGATTTTATCAGACACAAACTCTGCCCATTAAATGACTCTCTCTGTACCCACTGCTCCTCAGCTCCTAGCAGTCAACATTCTTTCTATTCTATGAGTTTGACTTTTCTAGATACTTGTCTCCATGTCAGAATCCAGTGGAGAATACTAACTCCTACCTCTACCAAAGTCCCTTTACCGGATACCTCTGATAGTTTTAATATCATTTCTTTTGTACTACAGTCAAGAGTGAATGTCTCCTATCCCAACCCCTAGGGTAATGTCCCGCATACAGCAAACATATTCTTAAGCAGGAAGGAGAAAGGAATGAATGAGTGAGTGAACACTCGGTTTCTCCTACAGGCTTCTATGCCTCTTGCGGGCAGGGGCTTTACTTGGAGTTTCTAGCTCATACTGGGGCTAAGATGGGCCTCTGTGACCAACTGCTGACCCATGCAGGCAAACAGTGTTCCCCTCAGCCTGTCCTGTGGAGAGGTCTGATTTAGGGAAAGGGACAGAGTTCAGCCAGGCAGAGTTGAATGGGGAGGTGACAAGGCTGGGAAGGGTGTCACCCCCTCCTCAGTAATGGGGCCAGCAAGGCCAGGCTGGAGCTCCTCCATAAAAAGGACAGTGTCCTGGTGCAGGTCTAGGCACTGCCCAGAGGAGAGAAACCTGGGCGCCTGGCCCAGCGACACCTGAAGAAGAGATGCGGTGGCCGCGAGACAGGGTGTTCCTGCTTCGCTCAGTGAGACCACAGGTCCCCCCAAGCCCCTCATTTAGGTCGCGGAGTTCGCCTGCTGTCCCAGCCTGTGGGGCAGAACAGGTCTTATCCAACCCCTTCTCCAGCCCCGGCGAGGCTGACACAGTCTCTTGTGCCTCCGCAGAAGGACTTCACGGTGCGCGAGGAGCTGCAGCAGCAGGACGTGGAACGCTGGCTGGGCTTCATCACCTTCCTGTGTGAGGTGTTTGGCACCATGCGTAGCAGCACCGGAGAGCCCTTCCGCGTGCTGGTGTGCCCCATCTACACTTGCCTCAGGGAGGTAAGCCGCCCCAGCTCGCTCGCCCCACCCCTGTGAAAACGGCAGGCGCAAGCGGGAGCTGTGGGGTTGGATCACCTGTAAAGGGATGGATCGTCTGATAAAGAGAAACGTATTTCCCCATGTTTCTGCTTCTAAAGCCAGGTTTATATTTACTGAGTTTACAGAGTATTGTTAACTTTGGTAATTCCTAATCCAGAATACTGATTACAGACAGGAGGTGTTGTTTCAATGAATGGATCTCTGGGTTGGATTTGGTTACCATTGGATTGTTTTAAAAAGAACGTACTTCTACAAATAATGATGCGATAATGGAAAAGGAAAAAAAAAAGAACATGCTTCTAGGTTTCATGTGAAAAAGGAATGAATAAGAAGAACCAGGAAACTTTTGAGATTCAAAAAAACTCTATGGGGTACTTATCCTGCCAGATGTTATTCCACACTTTGTACGGTCAGTCTGGTTGCTCTGGGAGGCTAGAATTGAAAGAGGCAAAAGTGGAAACTGGGAGCCGGGTTGGAAACTATTGGTGTCATCCAGGGCCAGCTTGGTGCCTGGGGATACAGCAGTGAGTGTCAGGAGGGAGAAAGGTGCATTTGGGTTCTCCTTGTATTTTTGAGTTAGCGCCAATAGGACATGCTCATGTGGAATGGAAGAGGGGTCACCATTTACATCCTGGTGGCTGCGTTTTCTGAAATGGTGGGTGCTGAAAGAGGATCGTATGAGATGATAGCCAGGGAGTTTTCAGGTCATTCTATGTGAGTCACCTATTGATGGTCCTTTGGGTTGCCCCGTGGTTGGTGGGCAGAAGGGTTGATAGCCTGGGAAGGCTGTCGCACTGGAGATGGAATTCACACATAGGAAGTGTCAGTGTACACCTGGCTCTGGAGGCTGGGGGTGGGACGGCATCAGGCCAGAAGTGGGTGTGGGTGGAGAGGGGCTACAGAGGAGGAGTGGCCAGGGAGGGAAGACTCAACCAGAAGCCTGAGGTATGGAGAAGTCTTTAGAAGAGTCTGTGAGGACCATCACAGCAGTTCTTCTACATGAGCTCGCACTCGACCTGTGCTGTCCCCTCCCATCCTAGCAGTCTTCTGTGGCCACCAGGACATAGGGAGGGACAGCCTCTGGAGAGCCAAAGGACTGGGAAAGAGAAGTGTGCTGGATTTGGCAATAAGGAAGTGACACCTGGGCATCAGTAGAGGACAGGACAGGAGCATGGGCAAGTCCTTCAGGAGGGCTTCTGTGAAAGGCAGCAGAGACAGGGAACTGGTTTGCTAAAGGGGAAGAGGAGGATCAAGGGATGCATTTGCTTTTGACTGGAAAGAGATAGGTGAGCAATTTGAGTAAAGCAGGGAGGGAAAAACTCATGAGTGTTTTGGGGCACCCATTTATAAAGCAGAGCATGCAAGTCCCTCTGGCATGCTTTGAAAACCCCCAGTCTTTGCCATTGGCTGTGGGCAAACCCTCTTTTCCTTACAAACGTGCCTGAATTCAGACTGGTTTCACAGATTCAGCCCCCATCCTCTCCCCACTGTGCTCCCTCTCACAGCCACATCTCACAGCAGCACCAAGAGGGCAGGTAGCTTTGCCTTTTGCATCTCTTTGCAATGACTTTTTGGAGGTAAGGAGTTGTTCAGATGGCCATAGGGGTTGTCCCATCCTTACCTGTGTTATCCTGTGCCCCTGAGAAGTCACTTCAAGACAGGGAGCAGTACTGTTGAAGTGCAGTGACCTTAATTGCTCCAGTTCATTCCCTCTGCATGATCTAGACCACTCCTGGTGTTGTTGTCACCTGCCCCTGGCAGGAAGTGGACTATAGTGGGCTGAGACACTTCACACTGCCTGAGGTGGTGCAAACTTTCTGGTGTGAGATCTGGAAGGTGCCAGGAGGTCCACATGGACTAGAAACAGCCCTTCCTAATGCACCTTTGTTTGGTACTTTAAGCTTTTTGGAACAGTTTGACAAACACGGACCCATACCATGCTTGTGTAATCTTAAAGAATAAACAAGACATCTATGGCTTTCACCATTTTGTAAAAGAAAAAAACCAGAGCCCCAGGCTAGGGCAGCAACCCTGGGGCCAGGACCCTGCTTAGATTCAAATCCTGACTCTGCTAGCTTTTAGCTGTGCTATCTTGGGAGAAAGCTCATGAGCTCTGAGCTTTCCTCATCTGTGAAGTGGGTTCATGCCTCCCTCTGGGCCAGAGGTTAGGGAGGATGACATAGCATGGAGAGGGACCTGAGTGTGCCAGAGAAACAGGGCCGAGTAAGGAAGGAAAAGCTCAGAAAGCGCATTCAGGGCCCTGCCACCTGACTCTCAGAGAGCTGAGCATCCTCCAGGCTGATGGGGCTTTGGGACTAAGCACTTGCTAATCTTACAGGAGACATGGGCTGAGTGCCCTGCCCAAGCACACACTGCCAGTCCATGCTACGGTTGGTCTGGAGTTCCTGAACTCCACATCCAGGGCACTTTCCAGAAGAGAACTCAGCTTCCCCAAAATGAGGCTTTAAGAAAAGATGAGGACACGGAGAGGTGCCCTAGGGAATCTTCTCATTCCCTTGGGGGAATCTGAGGCCTTTCCAGGCCCCAAGCAGACATATGAATTCCTGCAGTCACTTGCCATATCATACACACACACACACACACACACACACACACACACTCACTCATATCCAGGCCTGATCATCGGTCCCAAACCAGGCTGAAGCAGCTTATGGAGGTATGTAGAGTCAAAAGCACTGTTGCTGCCTACTGAATGCTGGGAAAGCTTAGGCTTTTCCCCCTGGGCCCATGCAGATGGCTGACCCCAAATCTGTAACACCCAACCAGCCTCCCTAACTCCCAGGGCAACCCCTAGGCCCACATTTCCAGCTGCCCACTAGGACCACCTTGCCTGGAGCTCCTCTGACAAGGTGGGGGAACCACACCCCAAGTCCCCATTGCCCAGTCCAGATACTCACATGGACCCAGCCCACCTTTCCTGCTTCAGTGCAGCCAGGCAGCAGTCCCACCCCTGAACTCAACTCTCCTACTTGTGTCTTTTCTCAAGGTCATGGGCCACCTGCTCTGGCCCTTGCTTGTATATTCTCCCCACACCTACAGCCTCTGCTCCCCTTTCTTTCCTCACCCTGAGTCAAACACAGACCCACCAGCCATCTGTGTGAAGAGTCTCATTTAGAACAAACCTAGATGAAGAAAGCCCTCACAACTGGCCCATCTCAATGTCTTGCTCACAGAGGTCACCTTCATCGTTGGGCCCAGAACAGATGCTTAGCCCCCAGGCTTGTCAGTCTGGGGGGCACCAGGTCTCAGAGCCCCCCTGTCCCAAGACAAGTCCCCTGGGTAATTCTTTTCCCACTGATGGAAATGACCTAGTAGCATTTTTACCAAGCATTTTAACTGTGCTCTCAGTTACTCAAACTTGAAACCTTAGAGTCATCTCTGTATCTATCTTCCTGGCCCGGACCTTTCCTCACAGGCCCTGTTGAAGTCACCACATCCGTGACACTCCCCAGTCCAGATTTGAAACCCAGCACACTCTTGAGGAGCCAGACAGTGTCTTCCATCCTTGCTGCCTTTTGCACTGCCTGATGTTATATTTAGTAACAATATTAGCGCATCTCACTACAGGGAAGGCACTGCGCAAATCACTTTGGGCATTCTTTTCTCTTTTAATTTGCACAACGCCCAGCAGATTACTATCCACATTTTCCAAAGGAAACAGAGCGGTCACACAACCTGCTCAGGACAAAGCAGCCATCAAGTGGCAGAATCAATACTGGAATCTCTGACCCTGCACCTAACCGCCCCACTTCACCTCAGGGCGGGCGCTATTCTGTACCCATACTTTTGCATTCTTAGCCCACAACTTAGCACCAGGAGCCCAGGAGATCTTTATGGAATTGATTTCAATTTTTCCATTAATAATATGTGCCACTCAGAGGTTTGTCCTGAGGGATGAAGAAGGAGAATTTGCAATGAGCCCTTTTATGACTTAAAAACAAATCATTTCTGCCAAGACGATTTTCAAAGTGATTGAATGGTTTTATTGGTCAGCTAAAACTATGTGTCTCTCTGTCCTGCTGTTTACAGCTCCTGTTTGCTTATAGCAAGCTTTTTTAAAATTTGTGTTTGAAACAAAGTCTTACTATGTAGCCCAAGCTGGCCTCAAACTCATGATCGTCCTGCCTCAGCCTCCTAAATGTTGGGATTACAGGTATGTATCACCATACCTGGCTTAGCAAATTCATTTTTTTTATTTTAAAAGAATTTATTGTGGTGAGAACAGTTAACAAGTGCTCTGCCCTCTTACTAGATTTTTAAGTATAAATAGGATATTGTTATTAAGTATAAATAGGGCACCGTGTTATATAGCAGGTCTGTAGAATTTATTTATCTTTCATAACTGAAATTTTGTACCCATTGACTAGCAACTCCCATTTCCATTTCCTCAGCCTCTGGAAACTACTATTCTATTCTTCACTTTGAAGATTTTGACTATTTTAGGGATCTAATATATTATTCCTGTTTATGTTACTATAACAAAATCTACAACTTTGCATGCTTTGTAAAGAAAAGAGTTTTACATATCTCACACTTTTGGAGGCTTAAAGTTCAAACAGCATGGCAGTAGCTCTTGTTAGGGCGTCGCTGGCTGTACCGCATCATGATGGATGACCCCACAGCAGGGGCACTGAGAGAAGGAGCTCACAGTGAGACAGGTGGCTAGAAAGTAATCCAGGGGTCAGGCCTGCTCTTTTCATAACAATTCCCTCTCTTAGGAACTGAGTCCACGTGACTAGAATTAATACTTTTTGAGGGCAGCATCCCCTGGTTACCTAATTACTTCTCACTAGGCCCCACCTCCTAAAGATTCCTCACCACATTCCACCCTGACAACATTGGAAACCAAGCTCCCAGCACAGGAACCCTCAGGTGACAAACTATATCCAAACCAAAGCATCTAGTATAAATGAAATCATAGAGTATTTGTCCTCCTGTGA